ACTAAATTAGAGGAAATAACTGAGCTGAGAGTGGAGAGCTCACGCCACCGGAGCAATCGTTTGTCTGACAATCTTTAATTCTGACTGCGTGTCCTTTCCCAAAGAGTCCAGTTCTGTATTACATCTAGGACCATGTATTTCTTGCCTATTATAATCAGGTTAACTGACTTTTTGTATTTTTTCTTACTTTTACTAACACAATTCGCCCTCCTTTCCATTTTTTATCTAGAGCCTTCAACTATTTGTAAATCGCTGGGAGAAAACTTAGGTATACTTGACATATTTACATACGTCCCCACGTACTTCCTCGAAGGATTTGAAGTGGTACACACTAAAAAGTCAGGAAGAGCTAACAGTTACTGAGCACTCTCTCGGTGCCTAGCATTTTCTGAGAGATTTAAATCCACTGACTCCTCGGAACAATACTATGAGGTAGGTATTATTATTTAAAAATGAGACACAAAGTGGCTAAGCGATGTACCTGTGACTGAAGAACTACTAGTAACAGAACCAAGATTAGAACCCAGGTATCTGGCTTCAAAGCCTGTCCTCTTCACCACTATGCCATGCTACATCGCCTGTATAAAACCTCAAACCATAAAAAATCAAAAGTCAAACCATAGATTTTTTGGAGAAACATGGCAGAGTGAGAGACGTTCTCAGATCTCTCCCCTTGAAACAACAATAAGCTGAACACATAACTCAACAAAAACCACCCCAACTGCACACCACCACGTCTGAGTGTGGGATCTGAGCATAAAAAAGTCAAACCATAAAGGCTGTGGGCAGATGGCAAGGACGCTTGATCACAAAAGTTCCTTATTTCTAAATACATATGCTTTCAATTGATCCCACTGAGGCATTCGAATTATGTGGGGAATCTTTACCTTCCAGATTCTTAAGTAAATATTTAAATTTACTGCCACAGTGTGAGGGCAATCACATCTATTACTATCTCATTTTCAATTACCTAGAATAAAAACCAAAATCAGCCTAGACAAAGTCAGGCTGGTATAATTTTACTAGTGCTGAAAGGACTGTCTATTCAAAATATTGCCCTCAACTAACTTGTAAGTCTGAAAGAGGTGGCATTAAGTTGTCAAGTGGGTCAAGTCATTATTTCTGACAAGTTCCAGGTTAAAAATGGTCACTGCTCACACACGTTAGTATCTCACCATGACTTGGCTTAACAGTATGGCTGGTAAATTACTTACTTAGGTGCAAAGGCTGTGGTTATTAACCCTGGCTGCACAACACAATCACCCTGGGAGTGGTTAAGGAGTACAGATGCCCAGGTTCTACTCCAATTAAATCTGAGCCTTGGTGGGAAGAGGTGGAAAATGGGCATCAGTATTTTTCAAAAACATTTGAAATGATTTTAATTACAAAGTCAGGGTTCCAGCATCTGTTCCAGGAGAATGTGGTATCAGGCAGAAGGAAATACAGGAACTCAAAAAATGTGTGAATTATAGGTGCTGCCCAGAAAGAGATCTCAGGTAACGTATCAAGAGTTAGGTAACTGTGTAACAGGGGAAGTTGTTTAGAAATGAGATAATACAAAAAGAAGAGGTAAGATGGCTCTAAGTTAAACTTAGGCCTTGAAACTGAGTTTTCTCCATCCAAAACACATGGCTCATTTTTTCAATTGGTGACATTATTTATACACAGGCTCTTGAACATTTATGTTGTCCTGCTCTATCAAATGCTCAGCTGAGACAATTTAATATGAATTGATTTTTTATTCACATCCTTTCTTTCCTCTATGCATTCTGGGTTCTCTCCTTTATCAACTTAAATGATGAGAAAAATATATATTCAGGTCTCACTGTTTGAACCTCTCAAAGAAATGCTCTCACTGAATGATATTCCCTGAGGTTGACCTTAGGGAATATGAATATGCTGAAAGTGAATAATACTTCAGCATTTTCATTTCACAATCGACGATTAAGGTGTTGTCCATTCTGTTACCGAATGTTCCTTATGAGAATTCTGTTCTGTTTAGTAGCTGTGTGATCTTGAGAAAGTTAATCTTTCTGGGTATCAGCTTCCCATCTGTAAAGTGTGGGAGAGTAACACACAGGAGGCAGGGTTTTGTGAGAAGTAGAATTGGCTTAGTGAGACTGAAGAATAAGTCACGACTTCAGACATTCAAATTTCAGGCAATAAAAAAATTTTTTTTCAGAATGAAACAGTTTAAGATGATATGAAATAACTATTTCAGTTATAAACTTCTAATTAAAAATCTTAGAAAATAAGTTACAAAAACTCTGGGAAATTACTCAAATGCAATCGAATCTTAACTGAAGAGCTATGATATACCTCGAAATTATGGAAATAAATTCAATACCTTACCTTTCCATTTCTTGTAAAATGCTTTTGATGTCTTTTCCTAACTTAAACTTTTTCCCAAATGGAATATCAGAAATAATAATGTCGACACTTTCTGAAGGCAATGGCAATTCTGAAATACAGAAATCAGAGAACCCTATTCAGTAAGTTGAAATATTTACAACAGAAATATGAGAAAATTGAAGTATACAGAATTATTTTTACATATTAAATAAAATTTAGGATTGCTAATATTATTTCTAAGAAATTACAAGTTCCTGAAAAGTGTTCAGAATCACTCAAGATAAATGGAACAGTTATATTGTTCTTTGAAAACTGGTTTTTCAGGTATGATAAATATGACATAAGTTCTGCAGAATTTTAAATTAACCAGAAAATTCATTCTCTAAACATATTTCATGACTAGAAAATTGCCAGAACCAAGAATACATTAAGTTGTCTTTTATAAAATTATATTCTATTACTTCCACTTCTCTTTTCATAGTTACATATAAAATTCTGTATGTGTAGATCTATTTGTTTTTAAGAGAGATGATCTATAGCTTTCATTATATTTTTAAAAGAGATCCAAAAGGTTAAGAACATCTACTTAAGTCCTAATACTAAAGAAGAGCTAAACAATCAATAATCAACAAGATGAATATTATCACTAAATAAAATTAAATATAGTGTTTGATTATGAAACCTAAATTTCTTTTTCATCTTTACGTTTTCTTCTCAGAAATTTAGATAAGGTAATATACCCAATCTCAACTTCCACATTTTCTGAGTACACTTTTCCTTTCTATTCTTTTTACTTCTCACCTATTCTTATGTACATAAGAAAACTTGGAATTGAAAATGAGCAAAATTAATTTAGAAGAGTAGTTATTTGATTTAAATAAAAAGTCATGTTTCACACAGTGATATTTAAATGCATTTTCTTCAGCTGCATGTAATAAATAGTTGGCTTTGGGCTCAGTTTCCTTAAAATAACTACTAAGTTTTGAAGTACAAGCTAGATGCTTCCTTAAAGAGGTTTGTTTCGTTTGGTCAGTGATAATCATCACGGCCTCATAGTGGATGGTAAATGTCAACATTTCACTCAAGATGTGTCCATCAGCAGCCTTTTTTGAGAAATGGAAAGAGTACAGTAGGTCCTTGAGTAAATGGTTTCATTCAATATCGTTTTGTTATAACACTGATGAGATTCTGTAGGAACGTAACTCTTGTTTATATCCATTAGCCTGTGGTAAAGTTAGTTTCTTTATACACTGTTTTGCTGCAGTTCCAAGAGCCTATTGATGATATTAAACGAGGACTTACAGTATTTGCTTTATTAAATATGCATTTTAAAAAAGTTATTGCTGCTGAGTTTATTACAGAAGTGTTACCAAACGAAAGTATTTATACGGTACAATCAATAACTGTTACAGCCATTATAGCAAAAAACCCAACCCTCTATGGTAAGCTTCTTAGTCTCTATTTTCCTACACATATTTCATGTGTAATTTGTCATTTCCCACATTTCCTTTTGACTCCCCAAATGCACAGTCTGGCAGCTTCGTGAATCTTGCAGAATATCGCACGGGCAACAGGACATCTGGCTGGGACTCCAGGAGCCAGGCCGGTGGGGCAGGATGGGTATTAGAGGAAAACTTACACTAATATGAAAGAAAATATAACCAGCACATTATGGGGAGGTTATGGGTTACTGAAAAAAGCATGCCTTACTCCTACAAGGGTAGGAATGAATGACACCTGAGAACGAAGCATAACTGTCACCAATAATCTTATTATAACTCTTTTACTGAAGAAATGTACGACAGGCTATAGAAAGTCTAATTGGAAGAAGGAAAAACTCCCCCCACCTTTTTTTAAACCTGTCTACAATTTTATTATTTTAATTTACCATACATGTGTTTCTTCTGCTCAAATCTGTATGTATTATAGCTTTCCACTTTATACTAAGAAAAATATATCTGTAGATTAAAAAAAAAAAAAAAAGCCTAACCAACAAATAATCATTTCCTATAATAGCTTGTAACATATTATCATTTGGTTCCAAATTTTCATTAAAACAGGAATACATGCAATTTCTGATAATTAAAACAGGAATACATGCAATTTCTGCATGTTAAAGAGTCATTTCCTATTATACTAGTAGAGGGTTATAAAATAAAGTGAATGTTACTAAAGAAGTAGAAAAAATAAAGTCATTAAAGCACACAAAGAGGACAAAGGTAGTGGTTAGGCAGACACAGGGATAACGATGGGAGTGTACTAACTTCCTAGATAACACACCCATGCTCACAGAGGTCTTTAATTCACGCTGTGTGATGGGCACTGTGCTGCATGTGCTTATGTGATAAATCTTCATTACAACCCTAGAAAGAAGGCATTATCTTCATAGTATTGATGAAAAAATACAGAGAGGTGGAGCATTTTGCTGAAGGCCACATAGTGAAGAAACAGTGGTGGGGCCACTGGGTTTACACTCAGTCTGTTTGACTCTAACGTCCATGGCTTCTCTTCCTTACTAGAGTAAAAAGGTGTGACATTCTCACACCTGTCAAGGTGTTCATGGTCTTGAGCTCCTAACATGACATTTCTTCATGTGGTGTCAATAACCATGCGAAACTTAACAAGTCCAAAACTCTAACTTGCTCCCCCTGTAGTTTTCCCCAACTCAATAAAGTGTAACTTCATCTTCTAGCTGCTCAAGTCAGAAAGCTTAGCATCATTCTTGTTCTTTCTCTCATACCCCATATTCAATCCAACAAATATTGTGGGCTTTCCTGTCAAAAAGATACATATCTGACTTCTTCTTAACGTTACAATGAATACCACTTTGGTCCAAGTCACCATCATTTCTTACCTGGATTATTGCAATAGTCTTATAATTTGTCTCTCCGTTTCCATCCTTGCCCTGCTGCTGTCTACTCTTGACAACTACTGTAGTGATCCTTTCAAAAATTAGGATTTATTTGACTACTTGGTGCCATTTAGCTTTTGGCAGCAAATAACTATGGGATCTCAATCTATAATACGACTCGTTTGGGGTTGCTTTATTATGCTTTTGCACAAAAGTTATCCTAATATTTTCTCATTGATATTCATCTCTGCTATTTTTTCACTACAATAAAAAAATTTAAAACAATATTTTGTTCTCTAGTGTGTAGGTTCAATACTGGGACCTTTCTACTACCTATTAATACTGTGTCAAGGGAATACAAATTTTTTTTTTAGCTGGGAATTAAATGTGCTCATTTTTAAGGGAGAAAGGTGTACTAAGGGGAAGGGAAAGAAATAAGGAATGCAAGTCTTCTTTACAATAGTCTAAATACCATGGGGCTTGGGGGAATATTATTCTGACTGGACTCAAAGACTTGATTCCGTGTCATGTTTGTCACTGCTGATTCCCCATCAGTAAAAAGGGTGGTTCCCTTGACCTTCCAGGGTGACCAACTGTCCTGGTTTGCCCCAGATTTTCCCAGTTTTAGTGTTGAAAGTATCAGTTTAACAAACTGGGATGATTAGTTACTTCACTCCTATATATCACAGGAATGATGTCCAATGTGAGGCAAGGGGAAGGTAAGATAATTCAGAACATTTCATATAGTTTATATGAAAAAAATTCAAGTAGTTTATTATTATAGTAATTACTTTTCTCTTTATTTTGTACCTATATTAAATGATCCTTGGTTATGCGAAACAGTTCAGATGCAACAAACATATCTTAAAAAGGCATGTTTTTACTTGAATGCTTAGAACACTATGTAAATGTTGTTCCCAATCATGAATCTTTTGAAAAGTAAAAATGTAACAATTATAATGTTGGAAGTAAACTGAGTATTAGTCCCACAGATACATTACAGGGCATAAGCAATTCTAGCTTTATATACAGAAAGTGAGTCTTGTTTTATATTATGATTCTACATATATTTACATATGTTCACTTTCCCAAATGTTTGCACTTTTAATATCTTACCTATAACAGAGACTTTAAGTAATTCGATTTTATCCTTCAGGCCTGCAGCTTTCAGATTGTCACATGCGCCTAGTAACTGTGAGTTGCTGACATCAGCACCCACATAATATACATCCTATGAGAAAAGAAATTCATACTTTAAGTGAAACTATCAAATATTTTATATAATTAAGAAAACCTACTTATATTATTTCAAATGATGAAAATAAAATCAATAGATTAATTCAGGTTAAAACAAATTTATAGTATTTCTTTAAAATGATATTCAATAGCAAAAAATTAAGTTTTTATTACAATTTTAAAATCTATTAGTATTTTACACTTACAAATGCCAAAAAAAATTTGGAGATTAGCATAATCTGTCATGCCTAATTACTGGCATTACTTATATTTTCCAAAATTCATCACAGTATTTTAAGAGATAACATAGAAATTTAATTAACCCTTCATAATCCATTTGATAACAGTAAACAGAGACTCATACAATTAAAAATAATAATCCCCAAAGACAATTTACTTGTAAATAATTGTTAAGTAATATTCAATTAAAGTAAATACATTGCTTAGTTTACCAAAGTTTAGAACTTACTGGCCATTCTTTAGCAGCTTCCAAAAGTATTGTGCCGAGTCCACACATTGGATCTAAAACAAACATACCAGCCTAGAGGCAGAAATATTGATTTGGTATTATTAAGTCTATTGTAACAGGTATTATAAAAGAAACCTAAAACTTGAGAAATCAATATTTCCAGAGTAAAGCTCTTGAATACACTTTATTAGTTTAAGCCCTAAGGCAAATGTATGCTTGGCATGTTGAAAGATTAGGAAGGAGACCAGCGTGGCCAAAGCACAGGAGTGAGAGGGGAAATGTGGTGTTTATATCAGAGAGGTAGCCAGGCGATCCCATCAGGATGGGCCAGGTCATGCTCTTGATCGCAAAGGTTTAACACACTGCGTAATCTCACGCTACATGCCCACAGTAGGGCGCCTGGGGCTTCTGTTCCTTATGCTGGAAGCCAAACCGATGAAGTGCTCACCATCTGGAGCACTGCCACCTCTGCGGAAGAGGAAAAGAAGGCATGACAAATTGTGCACTGACTCTTCAAGGTGCCATCTGGAAGTGAAGCACATCATGCCCACCAACGCTGAACTGGCTAAAGCATGTCAGTCACATGGCACACAGTTGTAAGGGGCCAGGGAAGTGTAATCCTACCTGCACTTACAGAGAGAACAGGAAATTAGGAGAAAAAAACAAATCAGTCCCACTCATGGTCACATCAAATCATCTGGTGGCTACTATAAGGATTCTAGTTCTGTTCTGAAGGATGGGAAACTACTGGAGGGTTTTGAGCAAGGAGCAACATGACATGGCACTTCAAAGGGGTCTGTTCAGTGGCTCCGCTGAGAACAGAAGGGCAGGAGTGTTAACAGAAAGGCTGGTTGGGGATCCGCCAGAGATGACGGTGGCCTGAGGTAAAGTGGTACTGGGGGAAGTGGTGAAAAGTGGTTGGATTCAGGATCTATTTTAAAGGTGGAGCCAACAGGACGGACTGGATGTGGAATGTTAAAGAATGACGATAGTCTGAAATGACTGAGATTTTTGACCTGAGCTAGAAAAACAGAGCTGCCTGTTACCAAGAAGAAAAGGACTGGGAGAGGCTTCAAAGTAGACAAGAATATATAGCTTTGGACATGTTAACTTTGAGATACTTTGGACCAAGTGTAGATGCCAGGTGAGTAGTTGGACATATAGAGAACCTGGAGTTCAGGGGAAAGGTTCAGGCTACAGATATAAATTTGGAAGCAGTCAGTGTTAGTCAGTTTACAAATGGTATTTAAAACCTTAGAACTAGATGAGTCATCCAGAAAGTAAGAGAAGTTAAAAGAGAAAGTTATGGGTTGGACCTTGGCGATCAATTAAGTACAGACATTTGGTAGAAGATTCAGCAATGCAAACTGAGAGCAGCACATACTGACATTAGGAGACCCTACAGTGGTGTTACTGAAACAAAGTGAAAAAAAAAAACCATTTCAAGAAGAGTGCTGACAGTGTCAAAGTGCTAATATGTTAAGTAAGATGAACAGTTTCCATGGAATGTTGGTGATGAAAGCCTGATAGAAGTGGGCACAAGAGAGAATGGGAAGAAAAAAATAGACAGTAAATATGGGCAATTAGTTTTAAGAATTTTTCTGTAAAAGGAAACAGAGAAAAGCGGTGGTAGCTAAAGGAGCATGTGGGTTCAGGAGAATGTCATTTTTGAAAAAGTTGTAAGATATTACAGCACGTGTACAAGCTGATGAGTAAGACCCAGTAGAGGGGAAAGTCCTTAAGCAGGCAGGAGGGACTGGAGTCCAGCCACACATAATGGAGTGAAACAGGACAGTTCACTTACTATAATGATCTTAAGGCAAAGTATGCGAGCACAGATTCTGAGACATTGGTAGACTTGGTGAGAACATGTTGAAGTTCTCTTCTGATACCAATATTTAAGTCAAATAAGAATCAAGAGAGTTAAAAATGTAGGCAAGGAAATGACTTTAATGGTAGAACATAAAATCCAAACTCTGAGGGAGAGATGAGGACAGGCAGTGAGTAATGGATAGTGGTCAAATGAATGGAAGTCCCAAGGGGTTAAAGAACTGTGTTAGGGTGCTAGCTGATGTAAACAGGAAAGAGAAGGTGGTTAAGAGCAAGGTTCTTGAAAGTGCTATTTTGGGGAGGTGTACCCTTCAGGGTATGATAAGCTCTAGGCTGTGACTAAGGCAGATCATTAGAGGTAAGGAAGCCAAGACACCAAGGGGTCAGGTTACAGAGTGGATACTGAGATCATAAGGAGTTATGATAGGAAAATGGCTTATACTCTTATAGGAATGATGGAAGAGATCTGTGTATCACTGGGATAATCTGATGGCATGTGCTTCAAAGGCACAGAGAAGTTTTGGGCAAAAGGAACAATGAGGAGCAAGCAGGACACCTACCCTGCCTCCAGGCCCAGTGGTCTCTTGCTATGTCTACAGAGGAAGCAGAGCATTCAGTGGACAATAAGGTTTAGTCAGAGCCAGAGGGTGCCTAATGGGAAGAAACAAAATGTCCTTCAGGAGAGAGAAAGAGTGAGAGAGTGTGAGAGAGAGAGACTTTCTCCTGGTACCACATCCTAAGGAGAGTATCATCAGAATCTCCCATGAAGGGGAAGTAGATAAAAATAATAATAATAATATAAATGGCCATTTTATTTAAAATTTAATATTGGTAATGAGAGCTATTACATTATTATTAAGATCTGGATTATATTAAGATCTCAAAATGTGCCAAACACTGTTCTTCCTTCCCCATGGTCCATGTTCAATGAGGTAATCTGACCTTAAACATCTTTAAATGTCTTTATTTTACGAATAGGACCTTTTCTAGCCATGCCATTTATGTACACAGGCAGAAGTAGAGAAGTATCTCTGTATGCTTATAATAATGACTAAGATTGATAGAGGTCAATCTTCCCTGTTCTAATATGAAGGAAGAAGAATGGTTTATAATAAGCACGAAAAGTATTTAACATCCTCAGGTTAAATTTCATTTTTAGTGGTACTGGCCTACCCTAGGTAGAGCTGTCTGTGCACTGCTCTGGGTAAGAAGCTCTAAAGAGGGGACTAGATTAAGGTTGGATACTGGGATCACTCATATCGTGGGTCATTACTTCATTCCCCACAGAAGAACTCTGCTGTGCTACTTGTTACATATATTAACAGACATCTTTTGTTGGTGGTCACATTTAGAGAAACATTTCTTACTCTGGGTCCTGGCAGGCAAACTGACAGTAAAGAAAACTTTTACAGAGTATTATCTTTGGATATTTTCAATAATTTACTTTCCACTTCTCTGAAAAATATATTTATGTTTATATCACGATAAAGGTAACATTGCAAATTTGTAGGTGGTTTTATAAATTTAGACTTAAATATAAGTATGACTTGGCATTCGGAAAAAAAAAACTGTAATTATATCTTAGTCTCCTTATATTAAAAGAAATTTGGACCAAAAAGTTAAATCAAATAAAAAATGAAATCATGGTTTCTGAGAAGATAGTAATCTGAAAGTAGCTCTCTCCTCTTCTCAGCTCCATGCTATTTACTTCCCCTGAGCCAAGTGATGCTCAGATCTAGAGGCAACCTGGGCTCTGCTGGGTCCCAGAAGAAGGAACTGGTATGGGGCTTCCTTGCCATGGGTTGAGGGGCTGATCAGGGAACAACACTGGAGCCTAGAGGTGAGAATCATTGGAACCAGGGAAGAACTTGGTTTTTAGAGACCTATAGACCTGCAAGGAAATCAGTGAATAGAAAAATCTTTACCAAGTGTCCCAGCATGGCTGACAGTCTCTTTTCCATGCCAAGCCCAGTGGCACTAGAGATCTATTTGCCTTGTATCATTTATAGGATTCCAGCCATTTATATTACTTTAATTGACCATACTTGAGCCCCAATGAGCCAACAAAGAAAAATAATGGCACATGAGGGGTGTGTGTCAGTAGCTAGAGAATAAATTGGCAGAACAATCAGAACACACAGCCAGTCAAATAGAACTACTGGAAAAGACAGATAAATATTTGAATAAAAGAAGTTAAGAGCTTCTAGAGATATTCAAATGTAGCACATGAGCACGCATGCGTACAAGAATAACTCAAAATGCAGAGCCAAAATGTAAACAGATGGAAATCATGTGAGAAAGGTTAAGTGACTTGGAGAACAGCTCCAGGAAGCTGAACATGTTTATAACAAGAATTTCAGAAGCAGAAAAAAGATAGTAGTTTAAGGTTAAAGTCACTAATGCAAAGCAGTTGAGGTAATAATAATTAAATAATAAAAAAGTGTCTGAGCTAGAGAAATAATAATCATTACATATTCCAAATAATTATAATTATTATTACTACAGCAGCAGCTAATATTTATAAATGTCCTAATATGCTGGGCACTGTTTTAATTGCTTGATAAATGCTAAATCACTTAATCCTTAATTTCATGACCCTATGAAATTATTCTTTTCATCTTGCAAATAAACTGAAGCACAGAGATGTTAAGTACTTTGCCTAGTTTCCCAGTCAGAGTGGTGAAGTCAGAATTAGAAGCCAGGCAGTCAGGCTTACTGAGCTATGGGATGAATATCCTGGTAATACTTCTAAACTTTATAGGAGTAAAGAGAAAAGTCTTACAAGCTGCTGAGCAGAAAGAATGAGGTAGCTATAAAGGAAAAGAAAAATCATTCTGGTATGGACAGCTCATCTATACCACCAGAAGCTAAAAGACAATGGGGAAGCATCTATAGACACCTGAGAGAAAAGGATTGCAACTCGAGCCAAGATGGGCAGACCTAGGATGAAGGGAAGAGAGTTGAGGATATACAGAAATTCAGACAGGATATTACTCAAATACCGCATCTGAGGAAAATACCTAAGACAAGACCTTAACTAAGCAATAAATAAACCAGAGCAGAGACCTCAAATGGGAAAAGACAAAGTGAAGGACAATGGTGAGGAATGATACACCTTGCAACATATCTGTGTGTGTTTATACAGAAATATATGTTTGGTATACACAATTCTATCTTAATGATTAAGGACAGGCTGTAAGTGCTAGATAAGAACTCTGAAACAGAAGGGACATACTTTAAGGGAATTCTGATATGTGGTAAATAATTTAGTTCAATCTAGTAGCTGGGGGTTGGGAGTGAAAGGAGGTAAAAGTTTCAAAGGCCTCATTGTAGGGAAGAGTAAAGATGGGACAGGAAAAGAGAAAAAGTACTCTAGAGGTCTCATCTTATGATAGGGAAGAGGGGGAAGATGGGGAAGATTAGTGTCTCCGTGGTAAAAACAGTGTCATGGCAGAAGAAGTAGGTATCTTATTTTAAAATAACAGTAGAATCCTATGTGTTTAAGTAAGAGAGCTAAGAAAGGGAACCATTCATGGAGTAGAACAATAAAGTAAAATCTCCAGCCTTAGGGAGAACAATAAAATGATTACCAAGTAACGATCAAATTAGCTAAAATGGAAAGGGTCAACTATAAGAAGTTATAAATAGATTAAACAAGAGAAATATAATCAGGTGTGTCTGTCATAATACTGAATTCTCTCATTGAAAGCCAGAGACCATCTGAGTGGGATAAAAACAGAGTTACGTGTTTGTAAAAAAAATACTGAAAATATGGCAGGCTCTCAGAAAAATTAGGCACATGCAAATGAAAAGAAAAGAGGGAAAATATTAATAAGACATGGTGAAATTTAAGTTTAAACTCACTAATTGATATAAAGAGAACTTGATGTAACAATAAAAAGGCACAATTCATGAGGAAGCAACACCAGTCATAAATGTGCATGTACCAAACTACATACCAGCTGAATAAGGCGACGATAAAAACGAAGAAACTTAAAATCACAATGAGATCAAAATGCCTCTTTCAGAATTGAGCAGATAGTAAAGAGTAAGCAAAGATACAGAGAATACTGACTAGAAAATGAAATTATTTTATGTCCATGGAGCATTTACAAAAACTGATCAAGATCTTGGTCACAGAAAAAAGAAGTAGACGTTTTATAGGCCACATGATTATGACACAAAAATTAGAAATAATAACGTGTAGCTATATTTGACTCAGCTTTTTTATAGACAAAATACTCTAAGTTCAACAATAAATAAAAACACATCACTGCAGCATTTGATGTGTGTAATGGCAGCAACAACAAAGAAAAGGAAAAGAGAAAAGAAAGGAAAAGGAAGCAATCAAGATGTCCATTGGTAAGAGACTGTGTAAAAGTTAATTATGAATAGATCCTTCCTATTATATTACTAAGAATGAAAGCATTCTCCTCACCTTAATTTCAGCGACAGAGGCCATTGCCCATGCTACGGTGGATCTCAGTCCTGCCGTCTTGATGTAAGCTCTGCTGGCTAAAGGAACCCTACAAAGAAAAGAACCTAATGATATACCTATTATTACTCTAAGTTAAAGAAGAATCTGATATAAATAAAAATGATTAACCTGTTCATGTCTGTGAATCAGTATTCCCTAAGTTAGAGAGTATTTAACCTTACAAAAATACCTTCTCTAATTGATCACCTAGTTTACCAGCTAATGTGGCATTTCAGAAAGTTAAGTTTTTTTAGGTAACAGTTTTTTTAGGTAATTTTAAACCCTTATGTGTTTAACTTATAAAAATGTAATTACAAATGAGAGAAATCTTTCTAAAGTGTTTATATACTTCCCTGTCTTCCCATGTGGAAGAGGCCTTTTCTTGCTAATCTAGCTGGAGTCATCAAGAGGAATATGCTATTTTGTGACATAGATGTAGAATGGAAAGTAGGTCTGAATGGATGCTAACCCTTGCAATAGGTTTTTTTAATAAAAAGTCCGTTTTATAAGTTTGCTTTTTGCTAATTTGCATCTTTCTCAAAAGATGAAATGAAGCATGACATTGCGTTGTCTGCATTGAAGCAGACATCTCCCAAATGAGTTCTCTGGTTCCCATTATGTATCATTTCATACTTCATCCTTCACCTCATCATTGCTATCGATATTTCCAGATTTGATAGAAATTTTCAAAATATTATTTACATGCATCAAATGCAATGAACAAGCATTTCTTTGGAAATTTCAATGTACTTTTCTACTTCAGATATATAATTTATTGGTAAGACATGAAGATATGAGTTTAAGAATTAGTGCTCGGTTGTTTTGGGGTAGGCTTGATCCAAAACCATGAATAGGGCTCTTCTATGAAAATTACACAAAACCACAGTGTTCTCCAAACCCTACATCTTTCATCATTTTGTTTCTGATCTGTTTTTGACTTTAAGATATCCTGTTTTGTATGTATTTATTATAAGCCTCTTAAAATCTTAAAACTAGCTGAGGTAGCTTTTACAAATAAAACAGTATAGTTGTATATTTACTGTTACAATGAGGAAGCTCTGCACGGTAAACCCATGGGAGTTTGGGTTTTTTAAAGTTTTTTTCAGAAAATAATTCACTTAGGCAAGCTGTACTACATCCACAGATTTAGAACCTGGAATATAAACTTTGCAGGTAGAATGACTATAAAATTTTGATCAATGAATCTTGGTACTATAGGCTAGGCTTGGCAATTGTCTTGCTACAAAACACACTGGTTAAAACTAGAATTGAGAGACTTTCTACTCCTGATACCAAAAAAAAAAAGAGACTTGGTATGGAAAACTGTCTTTGTCCATACATATTCCTAAGTGCCTAAGCATCAAAAATTTATGTAGAATCTCTGGAAGTTGACACTTACGTGTTTTTGTTTACTAATAGAAGTTTTATTTTATGGGAGCTAACCCTATTAACAAAAGTGAATGTGTTCTTATTTTGCATAAACCTGGGCAAATTACTTTCTATTACTTCAACAAAAGGGCCCTATTATATCAAGCTAATAAAATGTTTCAGGGGAAGGAAGTGTTCAGAAATAAATTGTTTGAAAGTAAAAATATTTCTCTACTTTCACAGGATCTGGTTAATGTATTTAATCAAATTTTAGCTGGTTTTTACAAAAATAAATGTGGTTTTGATCTATTCCACATATATGCATTTCTTCTTTGTTCTCTCACACACCATCTATCACCAAGGTGAAGACACTCTCATCTATATTTCTAGCCTAGAACTGTCACCTGAACCCGAATCCCAGATCTTTATCTTTAATGTATGTTTGGATACTTTTTACCTGGAGATTATCTAAGTACTGAAAATCAACAGGTGAAAAGTGAGCACACTCTCCTCTCCCTGTAGTTCGTATCTTGATACACGTCATTTTCTTGGGCCACTTGCCATCTATCTATCGGGGATCCTAATCTATATCTCTACCCTAGACCTGTCTCACCTGAACTCCTAAGCTGTAACTTTAAATACCTACTCAGACATTTGCCACCGAATACACAACTTTCCATACATTTTCTCTCTCAGTACTGACACCATTATCTACCAGTTGTCTAAATCAAGTATCTGAAAGTTATTCTAGACTCCTTAACTTTTTCTTGAATTCATGGCCTCCTATTTGTTACTCCCAATTTTGCCTCAGTTCAGCTCTTCATCATTCATTGCCTGAACTATTATAAGAGTTTAAACCTCCTTTTCCTTTTTATTTCCCTTTCATTTAAAAATATAATTTCCCTGGTAGTGTCTCAAAAATCACAAATATGATCATATTACTCTGCTGCTCCAAATTCTTACTGCTTTTAAATGAAATCCAAGTTGTTTCACATGGCTTATAAGATACTTCATCACTTTTTTCTGTTTAACCACATTTTATATCACTCTTCCTATGCATTTCCTGTCCTATCTATACTGAAACTACTTGCTGTCCCCACATAAATCAAACTTCCTCACACCTCCATGCCTCTGCACATGAAATTCTCTGTTTGTAAGACCTTTTCCTTCTCTACCCACTTGAGGAATTCTTCCTGAGTATTCCCCATTTAAGTGATACTCCTCCATTCTCCACTTAAGTGATTCATTAAGTGAGTCTTCTCTATGTTCTTTTGCTTACCATCCTCCAGGATTAGGTCTTTTTTTCTAACTCTGGTCAAGCATTTATCACCTATCTGTTCTACCACTAGACTGAATTCCTTGAACTTAATAACCATCTTTCCCATCTTTGAATGCTGAACGTCTAGCATAATGCTTAGCATATGGTAAGTATTCATCAGATGTTTCAACTGAAATTGAATAAACTTAATCTAAAAAATGCTTCTCCCTTCCCTCCCTAGTTGCTGATCTGTTAAAAAAAATAAAACAGCTGAAATTTATTCAATACTTACTGTATCCTAGAAATAGTATCAAGCATTTTCATATAGGTTATCTCATTTAATCCCAAACACAAAGCAACGAAGTAGCTACTATTATTTTCCTAATTTTAAAGTGAAGGAATATAATTTGCCCAAACTTGCACTTAATCCGTGGAGAAGGTAAAATCCAAGTCCACAGTTCTCCACTATGCTATATGTTACAGTGGGGCACAGCTACATGCAGTTAATATTCAAGGTGAATTTAAAAAATTGTGCTGCATTTTCTATTTTAATTAAAACTCCAAGATGCCAACAGACTAAAATTTTTAGCTTAAATATGGGCCTGTGAAAATCATTTAATAATAGAAATAATTAGATGTAATTTTCAGTATGAATCATGTAATCAGTGGATTATTGTGATAAAATCTTTCACAGCTCTAACTGGTCATATCAAATAAGCTCCATGAAAATACTTTACTGGCTCAAGTAAAGAACTCAAATGCTTTGCCTTTAATTGCTTCTGTTATATCAATGTTTCATACTATAAATGAAAAGCATAAAGTTCTTAATTTTAAAACTCTCATAAGGGACAAATCTGAAGCACAGAATATAATATCTACCTGAACACAGGAATTCCCACCACAGAGTACATGTCATTTAGATGTATAAAGATCTGAAAGAACAAATACAGAAGTTAGAATGGGACAGGAAATGGAGTGCAAAATTATTGATGATTTGAAAATTTCCATTTTGAATCTATATTTTAATAAGAAATTCCAAGGCCTTATTTGTGATATTTGGAAAAATGTTCCATAGTATTTTCTCTTGAGCAGAGGTGAAGTTAAGTATAAGTACAGTTCATAGAAAAATTCTGAGGTTAATTTGGCATATAAGTTATATACAGAATCATGTTATGAAGAACTCAAGATCAACTTTCTTCCCAGAGATATCATAACTGGATCAGACTTTTCAATATTTTGGGTTAGAGAAGACTTCCTAAATTCACCCAAATTCTAACCTCAAATAAGACATGAGGCCATACAGGACTATCACAAGCTACACACACTTTTAGGGTAACAGAAACCTTTCTTCAGGCCAAATATATGGTGACCTTTTCTCTCTCTAGCTAGAGGTGAGCTTCTTCCTCTCCATTTCCTTTCTTTTGTTAGGACACAAAGAGGATTTCAATGTGTCAAGTTATAATTAGTAGTCCACATAAACTTTAAAAATTAGAATCTTACTTTTGTATTTTGTAGTTGAATGAGGTTTATGGAATATTCTAATTCTGCTGTCTGACCTCAGGAGCACTTGAACCCTGGTACTTTCACCCCAAGGTTATTTTTAATATTACAGTTTAATCAGAATTACTCCAATATTGATAAATTTTCATCAATAAAAAATTGATCTGGAATGAACTCCCTCTAGTCAATTAAATTCCTTGATCATCACAGCTGAAATTTCCAAATTTTTATATTATTCATTTTAGCAAAATTATTTATTGGAATTCTCTTCTATTTAAAATTCATATTAAAGATACGATATACTCTTGGACAGGGGCTTGGAGTGGGGGACGGAGTATGGGAAGACTTGGGAATGATGGCTAAGGGTAATAAAAATGTTCTAAAATATAGTGATGGATGCACAACGCCATGAATAACTAAAAGCCATTGGATTGTGCACTTTAAATGGGTCAATTGTCTGGTATGTGAATTATAGCTCAAAAAAGTGTTTTTTTTTAAAGATATGATATGCCAATATTTTTATACATCAAATGTTATTGAGAATCGCTTCTCCCTGTAAAAACTTTTCTATTTATTTTGTAGAATAAAATCTGTGAAGATTTGATTTTTCTGTCAATTTTGGTAACAAATTTTACTATGTGATTTCAGTCTTGTCAATTTTGTTTTGTGTTGATTATTTCCACCAATGATAGCTACCATTAATTGCATTACATGGCTGATAGGAATTATCTATAAGCTAACCTATGAGAAAAACATCATTCTGAGAGAGAGTGAGAGAGAGTCAGAGGGAGATGAAGAGGTGAAAACCAGGAAAACAGAAAAGAACTGAAAAGAAGGAGATGAAATGAAGATACTCTTAAGTCAAAATATTCTTGGGGTCAAAGAATTTTGCATGACAGCAATAAAAGATAACATGCCAAACATTACTTATTAAAAGTGAAAAATATTGTATAAAAATTTAAAAAATAAAACAACACAAAATGTTCTGATTTGGCCAGCTATTACTTCAGTTAAAGCCATATAACAATAAATTTATTAATTAATGAATTACGAAAATGACTAAACTACCTGTTGAATTTATGAGATGATTTTCAAAAAATAGTGAAGACTATTTTTTATAGTACTCATTTATTTCCCCATATGTTTTACTTTGTTATAAGTAAAAATAGTGTAACCTCATTAAATTAATTTTAAAAAACAGAGAAAAAGAAAGCATAACCCTACAATCCTAATAAAGCCTCTATGAACATACTATTAAATTTTGTACGGGCTTTTTTGTTTTCTATTTTTTTTAACATTAGCTAGAATTTCTTATTGTAGAGACTTATTATGTATACAGTGATTGTAGAGAGCACCTCTGCAACCTTATAATAAATGTTTTTTTAGTTCAACTGTGACAAAACAATTCCATTACAAAACACCTTATTTGGATAAGACATTTTCGGTGAAAATTACTAGCAAAATTTTCCGTACTGTCCTACTACTAAAGAGAAAATAGACTGCTGGATCCATGTAGACGTGTTTTTTGAAACTAAAGCAAAATCGAGAAGTACAATAAAAATAGCTGACGCTATCTTTAAAGAATTAGGTTATAAGCATATAAAATAAAGTGAACATTCATTACCTCTAAATTTGGATTCCTCAAATCTGCTTTCCATCCAAACTGTTTCATAAGAGCAATTCCAATTATTCTTCCTACCTCCTGGAAAAGCAGCAAATTATAGAAAAGAATACAAAAAATGAAAATTTTAAGTTTAAATATAAGTGAAAACTAACAAAGCCTATATGAAAAACAAGTCAGATTATCTGATGGCAATTTAAAATTACAATATTAAAATATTACACTAAAGCATTTTCTATCCAAGGCATAAGACTGCACTTTACTTCTTTCACTCCCCAGCATGTTCTATGGCATTAGCATCTACTCATCTGTAATCTTTATTCTTATAATTTTAGATATATGAAATAACTAGATCATGACCTGATAAATAAGGCCATTCGGGGTCTTAGAAATAGATGCAAGCTGAAAGATTAACTATTTTTACCTATTGCAAGCCTGTATGTTTAAAAATGACCAGATCAGTAGCATTATACTCAAACTTTAGGGTCTGTCTGATTTTAAGGTTAGCCAAAGAACCCAGACCTATGCCCTTTAAATCACTGAATTTTGTAAGGGTCAACCAATAAGAGTTTTTGAAGGAATTTGTTTGTAGTGTTCACTCTCCCCTAGATACTTGAGACCTTGAGTGCATTTATGTATTTGTAGTCTGGGTCCTGGTGACAATCACACATGCAGGGCAGAGTAATCACTCAATAAACACAGAAATGAACTGAAGAGAAACCCAAAAAGCTTAGGACCATGATATTATCATTTCCACATGAAAGGATATCTGTGAGTTTAAGGAAACCTTTGGGGAGAAAGTAAAAGGAAGTCATTACATGGAATAACATAGTATTCCTCTTAAGCATCTGAGGTAAAGTTAAATGCAAAACGCATTTTTAAAGAGATTTAGTTACATGACATTAGGCCTAGTTATCTATTCTGTGAACGGTTTTCAGCTCATTTTAAATCTAAAGAGTAATTAATTCTTTTAGAAAAGGGGAACCCACTTTGGAGGCGAGTGTACCTGTGCAGTAAAGGTCTTTGCAACAGTCCCACTGCAGCGACAAGAAACTCTGAAAGTCAAGCCGTTCTGGTTATGAGTATTAACTGCTTTCGCTATACCATTCTGAAATTCTTCTTGAAATGTTTCTCTTTTAGGAAGCAAGTTTCCTTGCTCCAATGTTTCTTCTTCTATTTGTTTTTCCAGCGGGCAATCCCCAATCTCTTGTGTCGCTTGCATTTGTTCTGTTTTTAATTTCTTAGAAATGATGGTGTCATTTTCTCCCAGTTTTCTTTTTAGTGGGTTAGCGTGTCGTTGAGAAAGTTTTTCCTTTTCTGCATCAAGTTCAAGAAGACTTTTCCAAATTGAAATGGCATTCAACCAACTCTCAGGATCATCATTTATAAGTGTTTGCATTTCACTAAACATTTTTCCTAAATAAATAAAATTTCAGTTTATCCTACATTGCAGCTTTAAAGACAGTCTATTATATTCATCACCTACAATTCCATTATCTTTATTTCTTTAAAATAAGTTTGTTGGTTTTTTTTTTAAATAATTACATGAAGAATGACTTCACTGTCATCTGGAATTTATATAATTTAACATAAGAATATCGTACAGAATAAGGTTCATTCTTATATTCCATACTTAACATCAAAACAGTTTTAAAAGTCATATAAAATTATTATATACTTTGGCAAGATCATTTGTCCTGTGATAATATACATATCTCTTTAATATATGCATAGACCTAGAGCGTGTATCTATCTCTGAAATAATGCTGATCTTGCCTATAAAAATTAAGTTTAAAAAAACAGAACAAATTGCAAAACACAGAGCTCATAAATATTAGCACACATCATAAAAAGAGTTTCCATAAAGTCACACTTCAGATATGCAACCCATTCATAATCTAGGGACTGCCAGCTTGCTCAATAAAATGTAATCTTTTCTTGATGAACAAGGGTCATCAAGATGATCCAAGAATAATTATGGTATTTCTCTAATGATGACAGTATGTGGAATATTGGAATAAAATTATATTGACTCCACAGTATAATACTTTAGAATTTGTTTTAAAATAATTATTCTTCCGTCTCGATTTCTTGTCATTTTTGTCTTTCTTGACAGTTTATTACAGACTACATGATTATATATGACCTCTTGTGCACAATCAGCAATAAGATGAAGTTTAAGGCAATATCTGGTCCAGTAGTGTCGGACCTCTTTTTTGATGCTTTTATCAAGATCCTTAAATTATTTTAGCAGTATATTTATAAAATCGGAGAAGGGACAGAAAATCTCTTAAGCCCTTTAACTCTGTTTTATAAATGATTAAGTTTATTCAAACATTTAAGGTCCCCCAAACAGGCAAGTTTATTATGTAGTATTTTCCCAATTATATCACTCATCAGTTAAAATTCATAAGGTGACAGTTTTGACCAGTTTATTCAAACAATGCATTTTGGGTTATTACATGTTCCTAAATCAAAATAAATGGAATTGACCCTACATATCCCTAGAGAAGGTGTCTGATCACAATTTTCAAGGAAGAAATTTGACTTAGGACACTAAAATCTCAGAATATAGGCAGCAAGTTGCAAAAAGAAGAGACGCAATTAGGTGATAATACAATTAGATAATATTCAGGAACTATAGAAAAATACATAATTAATGATCCCACAGGTCTGAATGAATCTTAAAAATGTGAAATAGCTATCTATTAATTATCAAGCAGACCACTCTGGAGTAGAACATATTATGTGGGTAAAAGCAATATGTATAGGTCATACCTTTACTTACAGATGAAACATTAAATGGAAACTGCTTTTTAATCAGCAAAAATAATCTTTCTGCAGATTTTAATGTTTTTAGCACATTCAAGTCAGAAGAGGTGGTGAAAAAAACTTTCCCTGAAATATATTCGACCTACAAAGAGAAAAAAGTAGATATTAATGCTGTCCAGTGTAGAGTAAGAACCATTTCCCTTTTCTGTCTTTAATGAATTAAAATATAGCATCTAGATTAACAATAATAAAAATAACGATTTCTGAAGTATCTACTACTTGTCAGACACTATACTAGGCACTCTGAATATATCCCCGCCCCTGATTCTTATAACAACTCTCTAAGGTAGATTTTATCACTCCCATTTTACAGATTAGGAAACTGAGGCTTAGGGAGGTTAAAAAATTTGTATAAAGTCAGTCTGTGACCAAGACTATGATCTTTTTATGTTATGTTACCTTTTGTAAAGTGTGTGTGTGTATACATGTGCATGCATACTACTAGAACATAAAATAGTAATCATATTGACAAATCTAACACACTATTTGAAAGTGGGCAAGACAAGTAATAATGGATAGGACAAATTAGGTGTCTAGCCCAAGGTTAACATGTCAGTGGGTATTTATTAAATATCTACCTTGTGGTCTACCAGGAGCATAAGACATACTTTGACATACAAATTAAAACGTAAAATTTATAAGACAATAACTTGAATTAAACCTGGACGAAACCTAAAAAGTTTTAATAAACTCATTAATAAGATGTAGGTACAATAAGTGGCACTGAATATGGAAGCTATTATTAGGAAAAGTCTCAGAGTAGAATGCTACAATATCGGGGAAGATGGATTCTAGAACAAAGGGCAAGATGCAGAGGTGGGAGTGACAACCTGGCCGAAGTGAACTGTAAGTGAGCATGGCAGCATTTGCTGTGTTATGTTGATTGAGAGTGTCAGGTGGATGGATGGTGTAGCTCATGCCAGCTTGATAAATGGTCAGGAAATGGAGTATCACAGATGGTAATGGTCAACCATTATAGACTTCTGATGAAAACTGACAACACTGAATTAGTTGGCAGAAAATAATTCCTTTGGAAGAGGCATAAAGGACTGAGTGTAGAATGTGAAGCTGGAAGGAGAAGCAGATTACTGTGGTAGAAATAAGGAGACACTTGGCTATAAGAACTGAAAAGGGGACAGAGCAAAAAGTATGCATTAAGCAAAAACAGGCTTCGAAGACAGGATGGATATGTGATAAAATTCAGAGAAAAAAAATGAAAAATGCACTCACTCATAAGGAGTCCAATGAGGTATGGCAAATGGTGCTCAATACCAATGGTATCTTCGACCTTTCTGGGTCGGCCTAACCCCCTTAAATTTAAGATGGATGTGGACTGTCCTGGAATTATTTTAGCAGTGGCCATCGGCTAACACGGTTCTAGGTCATCGCCTAGAGCTGAGGCACCAGAGAATTTAAGGTATCCCATGTGTTTAGGTAGCTCTCATTCAATGACAACTTAAAACCCAATTTTTTTTTTTTTTTAATTTTTTGATCTGACATGGTCTAATTAAGCTTTTGGGATGCTAATTTATGGGGTTACCATTCTAGCTTGATGAAGAATCTCTGCCTAGCAAGCCTTAGGTCAACACCAATTAAAACCCAAATACTTCTGGTTATAAGATTAACAAGTTCTGGGGATCTAATGGCAGCATGGTGATTATAGCTAATAATAGTGTATTATGTACTTGAATGGTCCTAAGAGAGTAGGTCTTAAATGTTCGCACCACAAAAAAATAAATGGTTATATGACAGGTGGAGGTGTTAACTAATGGTATGGTGGTAACCATTTTGCAATATATAAATATATCAAATAAACACCTTGTACACCTTAAACTTACACAATGTTATGTCAATTACCTCTCAATAAAACTAGAAAAATAAGTACAAATAAAGCCCAAATAGCTTAGATATCAGCAATGCAGATGACCAAGGTAGATGGAGGAAGGGGGAATGAGAATGTTTAGAAATCAGTATTTAAAGGAATAATAAAATAGCTAAAATGAGAACTTCTGGTTTCTAAAATTCACTTCTTTCTTATGAGCAAGGTTACTTTGTCCCACTAAGTCAAAACTATATTCCTCAAAATGCTTAGAGAATTTGAAAACAGTTTTAAAAAGTACATTTTTAAAAACTCAGATTTTATGTTACGTGATATAAAAATACAGCTGATATTAAAGCCATCCCAAAACAAGTTAATAGACATGATGACAAATACCTTGCCAAGATTTCGGAGGAATGGAAATAAATATTTTACTGAAAATGTATGGTTTTAAGATTTGAGTTTTTATAAATAAACTGAATTAAACACCTAGACCAGTGATTTTCACCTAAGTAGTCAGTTATCTAGACATTACATTATAGTTCTTTAATTGTACAAAGATCTTAAGTTTTCTTAGTTAATTGCATACCAAGGGAAACATTTTATACAATGAGTTTTTTTCTAAAAATATCCTGGGGGCGGGGGGCAGAGAGGATGCCGGGGGAGATTTTCAAAAAGAATATGGCTGAATATCAACTTAAGAGGACCTAAAAGGTTCAATTTATTTAGAGTGTCAAAACATAATAGTATGTATTGACCCATTAAAATGTTAAACACATTCTCAAAGCCAAATCAACTTATTTTCTTTATTTAAAAATTAACATAAGGCCTATATTTCTTTTACAAGTAATGAGCATATAATCAGAAGTTTACTAAATTGTAAAACAGTCACTGTGAAAATGAAATAATCATATATGTGAAAGCATTTTAATGGTTTGCCCTTTGTGAAGATAAGGTATTATACCTTAAAGCAGTAGGGAGAATGAATTTTAGTGCTTATGATTTCAAAAATGGCTGAAATTAGTTGTTACCCTTTTTCATTGGTTTATCGCTTATAATTTATGGTATTCAATTACAATTCTTAGAAGAAAACGTGGCATTTTAGAATATTTCATCCTAATATTTGTTACTTGAAAAATTATTCATACATACAATCTGTTTTTTCCATTTGGAGTTAAATTATAACCAAGTGTCTAAAACCAGCTGGTTTTATGTTTAACACTTCCAAAGATGAAATTACAGCCTTTATTGAAGTGTGAGAGCTTTTTTGGTTCTTTTTAGATGAGAGAATTGAAAAATATGTATCAATAATTTTTAAAAAGGCATTTGATCTAAAAGGAATGCAGAGAATCTTCAAAAAAGCAACCATATGCAATCATCCCATTCAATGAAACAGACTATCTGCTTAGTTCTTCTACCCCACTTCTATCATCATGACTCCATTAAAAACTAGAAAGTTTTTTGCTTATATAGGACTTGAGTTAAACAGTGTTTGCTATGTGGGTTGAAAAAGACCGATGAATCACTTGGCAGGGCCTTTCTGGCTCTACTATACTGAATTTTATCTTAAAAAAAACTGTTCCTACTATTATTCTTTTAAGTATTTAATATATTAAAAGTGGTTATGAAGTAAAGCTTACTTTTTTCAAATATATTTCTTAAAAGTAGTCTAAGTAAAAAAAATAACATCTATAAAAATATAGACATTATAAATGTATTACATATAAAAATACATATCTTTATATACTTAAAAATACCTAGGAACCTAGAAAGAAGTTTGCCCTACCACCAGGAGGAAAAAAAAATGAAACCTGAATCTGACCAAGCTCTAGTTACAACTTACAGGATTCCAGTTTACAGGAAGTACAGAGGCTAGAGGGACATGTTAAACTACACCACAGCAACGCAACTGGCAATACCTAGACTGGGGGGAATTCTAGCAGTGCTGTCAAACAACTTTCTGTGATAATGAAAATGTACTATATATTTTTTGTCCAGTACAGTCACCATGAGCACATGTGGCTTCTGAGCACCTGAAATGTGACTTATGTGTTGCAGAAAGTAAATTTTTAAATTTAAATTTAAATAGTCACTGTGGTTAATGATAATCCTAAGTGGACAACACATCGCTAGACTAGGGGTCAGAACACTAGGCCTGGTGAGCTAAGAATGTAAGTTTAAACCTTTTAATTTTTATTTTTTTAATGTAAATTCTTTTTTTTAAAAAGTATTTTAAAACCTTTTAAAGGGATAACAGCAACAACAAGAAACAAAGAATATGAAACAGAAACCACAAAGTGATCCACAAAATCTAAAATATTTATTATCTAACCCTTTACAGAAAAACTTTGCTGACCCCTGCTCTAGACTGTGGGACAAACAACCCAGCTTCTTTAACAGATTGTGATGGGGAAAAAAGAGCCATGGAGGGGAAATGTATAGATTAAAAGAGATTTACCATGTGTGGACCTTATGTGAATCCTCATTTAAATACACAAACTTAAAAACAAAAATGACGTTTATGAGACAAGCTGAAATTTGAATAACGACTAGATATTTGATGACAAGGAAATATTTTTAGAATAATATTGTTTTTTAAGACTAGATATTTGATGACAAGGAAATATTTTTAGAAGTAATAATGATATTGTTTTTTTAAATTTATTTTAATTACTTTCACGTATACAGTACATTGGTTAGACATCTATATAGTTCATAAAATGATCCGCCCCAATTGCTCCCTCCCTCCTCTGGCCCTTCTCTAGTTCGTATTAATGCGAACTTCATTCCCTATGCCAGGCTCCCCATTCCCGTGACCATCTGTCAACTACTAATTTGTACTTCTTTAACCCTTCACCCTATTCTCCCAGCCTCCCAACTCCCCTCCCCTCTGTCCATCACCAAATTGTCCACTATATTTGTGAGTCTGTTTTTGATTAGTTTGTTCTTTTTATTCCTTAGATTTCGCATATAAGTGAAATCATATAGTGTTTATATCTTTCTCTGTCTGACTTAAATACCTTCTAGGTCCATCAAAACAATATCTTTTTCCATCCCCTTCCTTTTAGTCTGCGTGTGTCTTTTAATCTGAAGTGAGTCATTATTAAGAAGAGTCATTCTATGTATAATCTCTTTCATATTATACTACATATATTATGCTATAAAAGGAGTCCTTATAGTGTAGGACAAATATATAGGCAAATATTTACAGATGAAATGATGCCTGGGATTTGCTTCAAAATAACATGAAGTGGGAAGGGCAAGGAATGTGAATGGAGTAGAATTCACCATGAGTTGATCATTGTTGCAGCTGGATGAGTGAAATTCATCTTACTATTCTGTCCACTCTTGTACAGGTTTGAAATTCTCCATGATAAAAAGCTAAACAGAATACACAGGACATTTTCTATGGCAAGCTGTGTGTTGGAGGAAGCACCTGTATGAGAGTCAGCTGGGAGGGGAGTTTGTAAGTTAAAATGCGAACACCTTGGGTAGGGATATACATTTTCAACCAGTTCCCTAGGTGATTCTTATGTTCATTAAAATTGGAAAAACACTGATCAGAACAGAGTGATTACTTTGTAAAATTAAACAATCACTTCTGAATTAAATTAATGTTTTATAAATTCAGATTTTACACGATTAATTTTCTTGAAGCAAACCAAAGTTTCTAAGTGTCTCTTGTCACTGTAAGAATGATATTAAGTATTCCTGTGCAACTCATTCAATGGGAACATTTATTGAGCACCTACTATTTGCCAGACACCATGCTACATGTGCTATGGATCTTTGTTTCAAGAGATGCAGTAATCCTTTAAAGCAGATATTATCATCTCTATTTGATATCCAAGGAAAGTGGGGCTCAGAAATTTGAGTAATTTGCCCAAACTTACAAATCTATTAAAGGAAGATATAAGATTTGAACACCTTTTGACTCTAAAGCCTCCACACACTTTTTACCATGCTGTTATAGAAATAAGCTACATGCAGTGTTCCACAGCAGTATCCGACCTAAACTTTGGCATAGTGGGAAAGCACATGGGCTTCAAAGCTAGAGATTCAGATGCAAGTCCCAGTTCCACCACTTAGCACCAGTTTTCTCTTTATTTCTTTGTAAAATTACGGTAAAAATGACTTAACACATATGATTCTTTTGAGGATTAAATCATTACATGTACGTAAAGTGTCTGTCACATTGTAAGTGCTGCATAAATGTTAGATGCTATCATTATTCATTCAGGATTGCTTTAATTTAGTTTATATTAGATAAACTGGGATGGAATTTCAGAGCTTATTTGTTTAGATCCCATTTCCAGGCATATTTGTCTTTAAAATATACAACATTAAAACATGATAAATTCCCAAGTCTTCGTACTTAATTCCTCTCATTGCCAAGTTTTTCCCTAAAATTAACTGAATTTTTTTGCTGTGATTAAACATTCCCCCACCATCTCATTTTGTCTTTAGAGAAGATGGAAGAAAAATGTGGCAAGAGTTTTTTTTTCTAATAATCCAGCATACTCAGATTGAGTAAAACTTTCTATTTTTCATACCGAGAACTCTATGTTAACATTTAATAAAAATCAGGGCAGCATTATGTCATGGCTGCACAGTGGTCAAAAAACTGGACTAAGGAGCCAGCCTGCCTGGGTGGAACAGGACTATAAACTCATGCCTGGTTTTACAGACAGCTTGGGTTAGAATCCCAGCTCTGCCATTTTCTGATTATATGACTTGAATAATTTATTGGACTTATCTATGCTTCATTTTCCTTTTCTGTTAAATGTGAAGCCTATCTTCTCAGTAGGGAAATTTCATATGTTGTGAAAGTTAAGCAAGTGAATGAGAGTAAAGACTTAAGAACACGTGCCTGACACACATTAAATGCTTAATCAATGTCAAGCAGTTGTTACTATACTGACTTTTTAGATGAGCTACATTTAACACTCTATTAAATTCTGTGACCAAAACCACAAATGGCAAGTTAGTCTAGTAAGTCTAGTAAGAGGGATGCCATTTCTCACGACTTCCTCTCTCCCCCTCTCCTCCCACCCTCTCATTGCAGAAACTCCTTTTGTTGGCTTCCAAGAGTACAGTCGCTGCTGGAGTGGTCAATTTCATTGAGTAAGCTTTCCTTTTCCAATAACACATCATTCGCACTATCATATGTATCCTATCAAGATACTGAAGCCTTTTTCTATCATGTCTTTTCCCTCTGCTTTCAAGAAACCAGCTCAGCATGTTCTAGAACCTAAACTGTGCATTTCATTGAAATTAACCACAGGTAAAATACCAGGAACCATTCAGTTCCTCTGGAAGTTGGATTATGAGGCCTCCAAGAGTATTTCTCTAGCTTTTATTTACTGCGAATTTAGGGTGTACTTTACATACCCTATATCATTTAATCCTAACAATCTAATAAAGTACCATCATTGGCAGGAAACTAACAAGAGTCACGGAACTGAACCTGAAGAATATATTTGCATTTAAAGGATGGATAAAAGATGCTAACTCTGACAGGTCTAATTCCAATTATAGTGCACTAGTGAACGCCTTTTAAAAAGGAATCTAGGAAATAACTTGCCTCAACCTCTCTTAAAAAAAAAAAAAAAACAACTTCAGCC